TTCTCTTCTCTTCTCTTCTCTTCTCTTCTCTTCTCTTCTCTTCTCTTCTCTTCTGTATGCCTCAGTATCCTTGTTTCAGTGAGGCAAGGGAACCAATTTGAGCCAACTTATTACTTCTATTTTAGATCTGAAAATATATTTCAATCTACCTAATGAACTTATCGGGAAAGTATATTTTGGAATATTATAGTCAACTCATTATCTAAAATCATGTGAAAATTTTATTTTCTGTAAACTTTTCCCTTCTTCTGTGCTCCTGCTCCAGGTATTTGCTTCTTCACAAATACTGGGCTTGGGGAATCCTCCCTATTTCTCCTCTCTCTGCTGTCACCCCCCGCCCCGCCCCCCCCCACAAAATTAAATATTAGGTACTTACATTCCCAGACATTTTGTCAAGTTCACTCATGGCCTCATGGATAGCAGCTTCTAAATGGTTATTTAGCTTTCCACTTCTAAGATGAAAACAGAGGAATAGATTTACACTAATGCTGTAGCTTTTCAGTAGAAAGTACTGTTTAAATATACACACACACACACACACATATTGTTCAGGTTAACATTCCATTCATCTTTTCAATAATAGTGATACATTTTACTTCACATATTTTCAGTTTAATGTACACACATGCGACATGCAGATAGTTTTCAGATTATGGCCATTCATTCAACAACTGTTGACGGCACTGCACAGTTACTACTTACTATACCTGGTCCTTGGAGTTCTGACCATTGCAGTGTCCTAGCAATCATGTGATTGCAATTTGGTGTTTGTAACCTGGCTTGGGATTATGCTGCATTGAGTTGCAATCCTGCGATTGTGATTTCCAATGCTACCTGCTGGTTCCCACAAGTTAAGACAATGTCTGTCTTCTATCTATCTTCTCTAGCTCTCCCATCTATTGATACATACACACCCACATATATACATCTAACACATATTGATGTAGCAGTAGTTTACTTTAGTTTACTTTATAGTCATTGCACTTCGTACAATGAAATTAAATACCATCTTCAGTGTACATTATGACTATGAAAATAAACACAAACACACATCCTTCACATTCTATATACATTGAATTGAATGAATCAGTAGAATGTTAATCACTGATCAAAACTAGCAAGATATATTTGAAGAAAGCTTTATAGGTGTTGAAAGGTATTAAGAACATAATTAGGAAAAATAATTAATGACTTAAAGATTTGAAAGAAAGAAAAGGAATAAATTGAAAGCAGTTGGTTAGGGCTTCTTAAATATTAGATTTAAAAAGAAATATTATATATATAGTCTAAAATTACAGGCATAGAATTTTATAAAGAATAATAAAGCAGTTAGAGATGCACTGATTAATTGTGGGATCTGAGAATCTCAAAATATAGGATTCAAGTACAGTAAAATTGTGGGGGAAACAGAAGTATTTGTGTTTGAAGTCTTATTATCTATCAGCACTAGAACAAAAAGGAAGATGAATATTTTAACCAGACAAGTGAACACAACGATAATCTGCATAAATGTGTTTTTTTCTACTTAATAATTAACTATGTAGATGGAAAATCTGTGATAAAAATAGTGAACTAAATTGGTTATTCAAAACAAGTTACTCCTCTTCAAGATTATAGTGCTGAAAGACCTTCAAGAATATTATCGTTTTCTGAGATGAGTGCTGAATGAGATCATAATGAGATGTGCATGAACCAAATAACAATATAAATAGCAGCTCATTCAACGTGCACAACTCCAGATGGGACAAGAGATGAGCAACCACTCCCTTCTCCTAGTTGTGCAACTCAGAGGAAAAGACAGACTTTTATGTTTTCTCTCTGCAGAGTGAAATCTGTCTAACAGCCTATTTCTTGAACATGTGAATGCTTCTATTTGAACTGGATTCCTCCTTTAGAAGAGTTTCACTCCAGTGAAATCTGTCTAACAGTATAACTCAGTGAGAGGACAGAAAATGTGGTCATTTTGGTAAGGAATTTCAATTCTACATTTAGTCTAAAACCTAACACACATCAAAAAAGCATAACCACCATACCAAGGTTTTAAGTAAGTTTCGAAAATAGTTAACAATATTTTATTTTTAATAGCTATATCAACACTACAGTATTTAGGACAAAAGGATGTTTACTTTCTCAGCTGCAAATTACTTTTTATTTTTAAAACAGAGTACTACACATAACATCTGTGTGTGCAAAGATTTTCAAATACCTTCTTCCCTCTGAACAACTATCAAATCCATCTCAGAAAGTTAACAACAGATCACAAAGAAGTGGTATGCATCTTATTAACACATGTAGCTATAGAACTATAAACTGTTAAGATTATGTCATTTAGCATCTGTAGATTAAGAATTATTCAGAGAGAAGCCATGATTTAAAACTCATATTTTTAAAAAAATATCCTTCAATTTTATGGTGCAGGAATAATAACTGAAATAACGTTAATTCTAATGGATAACAGAAATCAAATATAATTTCAGTTCAATATTACAATAAAATCTTGATTTAATTGATGATTTGGGTGGGATTATTTGGGCACCCATTAATCCTAGATCTTGTTCTATTCATAACAGGGAGGGGCAGGGAGGGAGGGAGAGAGAGAGAGAGAGAAGGAAAGAGAGAGAGAAGGGGAGAGAGGGATAGACCAAGCTGAGAGGGCACAATTGACCCCAAATCCAATATACAGTCATGTGAAAAAGCCATTTTCATACCTAAGATGGGACTAAAACTCACAGTCTCCTAGTTTCCAGGCCAATACCTTAACCATCACATCCAACTGGCTCCAAATATATTTGATAAGCTTTCTAGAGAATTTTTTAAAATGATAAAGTACCCAAAATCCTTAAACATCTATCTGCTCAGAAATAACAAATGTGTGACAAACACAGGTGCAAAAGGAAGAGATTTGTTCATATAACATGAAATCCAGTTAGGAATAATGGATGAGAAGGGACTTGTATATCTTGTTTGTTTCTACTGCTGTATTTTAGAAATCCAGTGTTTATCTTTATTTAATCTATTGAATAATAATTACAATTTTCATATATGTAGGAATTCACTTTAACTCATCGTCTCTTTTCACATAATGGAACATATTAAAGTATGTCTGACTATAATTCCAATCCCATTGCAAATATTTTGGGGGATTTTTTGTGTGAAATTAAATTGTTAATGTTTGTGTGCCTTTGCACCTCAATTACCATGCCTTAATTCTCTCTATGGGCCTTTTACTTCAAATAACTGAATTCACTCTGAATTCATGGATGTAAGCTTTAGTACAGGGGTGTCAAAATCACGTCACGGTGTCGTCATATGACATATCACTACTTTTTTCCCCTTTGCTAAACCAGGCGTGGCCAGCACATGACGCATCTAGCCCGTGGGTCGCAAGTTTGACACCCCTGCTTTAGTACCTTGGGATTTGTCTTCAGGGGGCTATGTCTTCCTGGTTTGATTTTCCATCCTGAATTGGATTGCAACTGGTGTCATAAGACTACTGCAAGCATCAATTCAATAAAGCACATTGAGTGTGATTGAAATGACGTATCTTTACGACTTCTCCAGATAGCACCAGAAAAAATGTAAAAACCGTTTCTATTGTTAAGAATTTTTATCTGTTAAATGAACGGATTTTTGGGGGGACAATTATGACTTGACTCCCTCCCCGCAATATTTGAATTGACAAATGGTTGAAGATATTGAACTGAATTGAAAATAAACAATACTGTAGTGCCACTTGAACAATAGGAGTTTATCAAAAATCGTCTTGCAAAAACTGACAAATTAGGTAAAATTTTCAGCTTTTTTACCACGGATTAGTAATTATTTTAATCTCAGGACCCATTCCCAAGTTTTATGCAAAACCTGAAAAGTTCTTTTTTCCCCAATGAGTTTTGTATTTATTGATATTTACTGAGTGAAAAATTAAAATTGACACATTCACTGTTGCTACTGCTTCTCACAATTGTTTGTGAGATTTTAATATTATATTATTTTTCAGCATAGGCTGACAATTTTGATTTTGCAGACTCCTTAGAGCAGGGGTTTCAAACTGGTGGCCCAGGGGCCGGATGCATCACAAGTAGGACACACCCACCCCGGCTCCCCAAAGGCAAAAAAGTCACAATACATCATGTGAGGCCATCAAATTTGACACCTGTGCCTTTAGAGGGTTTTGAGGAACACCCCAGGGGTCTTAGGACCATTTAAAGAAATATTGCTATAATCGTTATACTGCATTCACTTTTTGATGTAGAAATAGATGAATACTTGTATTTTTTATTTATTCTATTTCAACTTTTATTTTTGTTATTATTAACACTGTATTTATTGTAGTGTTACACACTTATCTTGATTTGGATTTCCTTGTTTTTTTGCATGCTGCTGTTGAAGAACTTTAAATTGCATCAGAGCAAATGTCTCACTGGTTTTCAGCACTAATCAGCATTAAATGTCATGAATGAAGGCAAATACACACATCCCAGGGTAATGTTGCAAGCGCGAAACTGGGTTGGTCACTGACACCAGAGGTTTACTCTTCTGAGCTTTTCGACTCATGCTGGAGTCCATCCTCAGAAAACTTTCCTCTACTAGAATATGGGCTATTCTGTCAATTGTATTCATGTGGTGCGTGTATTGACGTAGGACAGACTATTTGTAGTGGGATTCAACTTTGCAGCAGGTTTCTATTCTAAATTGCCTGCTAACAAGGAACTTGCAGATTACCTGATTATATTGGATTCTGATAAATATAACATCAAATACCTCAGTGCCGCAGTGGTTAAAATAAAGTACTGCAAGCTACTTCTGCTGCAGCCAGCTGCCTGAAATTTGGCGGGTCTAATCCCACCAGGTTCAAGGTTGACTCAAGTCTTCTATCCTTCTGAGATGTGCAAAATGAGAACCCAGATTGTTGCGGGCAATATGTTGATTCTGTAAACCGCTTAGACAGGGCTGTAAAGCATTATAAATCGGAATATAAATCTAAGTGCTATTGCTATTTACTGATCAGCCTTTACAGTAGGAGAAGAAAAATAGCTTGGTATAGCAGTTAAGTTATCGGGGGCGGGGGGTGGAGAAAACAATAAGATCATAAAACATCGTATCTAATTAAAAGTTTGATGCAAACAGACAGGATTGCAAATTTTTTAATCTGTTATATACCATTAAATACTTTTAAAATAAAATTAATGGTATGACTGATGGTTACAGTTGGAAAATCTTTAAGCAGGTGCAAATTGAAAGTCTGGCTTACTTATATCCTCAACTATAATTAGAGCTTTTGTTGTTAATAAAATAGAGTGGCTATTTTCTTTGCCATCTATGGAGATACCTACATGGCACAACCATCCCTCAAGTCATAAACTTTATGTATTTTGCCTGGCCTGAGAGGTTAAATGTCTGCTTATGGGAATCTTAACTGTTGTCTAACGTCTCCCTAATAAAAATCTAAAATAAAACCAAACAAGTAAGGGATGATTGATCACTTGACATCGCTAATCTATCAGAGATATTTCTTTTTTCTTGTGTTGTCATCCCATGTGGCAGTGGACCATGCGTAAATGAGTTATATGTTTACAGTATAACATAGAGAGACATTAGAACAGCAAGCAACCCAAATTCAAACGGAGTAGAAAATGTTAAACAAAACTAAAATAGGCTCGTTGTATTTACAAGTTACTATTAGCAAGAAAAGATGAATTGCATTAACAACTATGTGGTGTTTTGGCAAAGACAGAATTTCCTTTCTGTCCCTTTAAGTAGAGACCCAGTTTAGTGTAGTGGTTAAGGTGCTGACCTTGAAACTAGAAGACTGGGAGCTCTAGTCCCCCGGTGACTTTGAGCCAGTCACTCTGTTTCAGCCCAACCCACCTCACAGGACGATTATTGTAGGAAAGACAGGTGGCGGAGGAAAGTATTAGGAATGTTCACTGCCTTGAGTTAGTTATAAAGTAATACAGGTGGGATAAAAAAATCTCATACAACCAGAAATATGCTGAGTAAGCAAAAGAAAAACTATACTAATATTGTTTACTCCTTATTTGTTTGCAGGACTAAAAAATTTAGTACTATATGTGTTCAAAAATGCTTCAGCTTGTAATAGCAGTAATAGTAACAGTAGTAGTAATAATAGTAGTTCTTCATAGTTAGGGATGATAAATGTTTGCAAAGGGTAATTGTGCTGAGCTAAACTCCAGTGGGGATAATTGCTTCCTCTTTGTCTCCTGTGCCCTCTCCACCAGTCACTCATTTAATTGCTCACCTGCTCGTTGCTTTTCAATCTGTTAAGGTATATCACTTTTCCTCTCTACAAACTGCACAAGGCAGTCTTTATTCAATGATGTAATTACAGATGGGACAGACTAATCAGCTTGTAAGTTTGCCAGAGGCCACGTTCATTTTATAATCTTAGATAAATGGATTGCCTTGGCTCAAAATAAGGGCTTGGCCAATGGCCAATATTTGGGGTTAGGAATTATTAGCTAGTGACAATATGTGTGGTGGGGAACAAATTAAAGGAAGGGATTGGGGAGGGAGCAGCAGAGGCAATCATTTATATCTGAGGTCGCCAACCGGTGGGCCACGGTCTACCGGTGGGCCGCGATAAAATTTTGGTGGGCCGCAGCATGCTGAGGAGGAGAGGTGGGGCAATCCTGCAGTCTCCCGTGTCGTGGCTGCTGCCTCCTGCCTCAGTGCTTCGAGGAGGCTGAGCAGCAGCGAGAAGAGCGCGGACCTCCTGAGCCGCAGAAAGCCGCAGATGTTGCGAGGGGGAGGCTCGACCCCTTCTTCTTCCTCGCCAGAGGCACTCACACGCTCAGCGGGAAGGAGGCGGCTTGTCGGGGATCAGAGGGGCAGTGAGTGCTTTGCGTGTGAGTGCTTCTGATGAGGAAAAAGAGTAACTCGGGGGGGCACAGGAGATCGCGCCCTCCCCTTGCAGGTCAGGAAACACCCGGGAAGAGCTCCAATGCCGCGATCTCCCACGACCCTGCCTTCAGGAGCTTCTTTTCCTCCTTGCCAGAAGCACTCACATGCTCAGCGGGAAGGAGGCGGCTTGTTGGGGGTCAGAGGGGTGGTGAGCGCTTTGCGCATGAGTGCTTCTGTCAAGGAGGAAGAGAAGCTTCTGGGGGGGGATCGAGCTTCCCCCTTGCAACTTCTTCCCTTGAGGGCATCACTGGCAGCCGCTCAACCTCCTCGATGCACGGAGGAAAGAGGCAGGAGGTGACAGCAATTCAGAGGTTCCTTTCCCCTCACTCCCACCCCCTCGCAGGTCAGGCCTATGCAGAGAAAGGTGTGTTGAAAATGCCAGCATGCCCTCCCCTGTCCCGAAGTAGGATTGAGTGGTGGGAAGGGAGCAGGGAGAAGAGTAGGAGGGAAGGAGAAGTCCGGCTGGCTTTCCTTTGGCATGGGGAGGGGAGAGACCAAATGCGCAAACCAAAAGAGTGCCGAGGAAGATGGCTCCTAATAACCAGCCTGTTTGTGTAGGCAAGAGCTCAAGTTTTTCCTGGCCTCGACACCCCCTGCTCAGCCTCCACATAGGGATGGTTCCTTCTCTGCTTGGAAGCAGCAGGAGAAACCTGAAGCTTAGCCTCGGGGAGTCCTCTTCTTATGTGGAGGCCGAAGGGCGGGTGTTGCCTGGTTATTAGGAGCCCATCTTCACTGGCACTTCCAGCCTGGCCCTCCTTCCCTCCCCCAACTCCAGGCAGCCACACCTGGCAAGGAGGGAGAGTTTCCTCTGACTTGGGGGAGATATGAGATGGTTCTGCTTTTCTTCCATTTGAGGGGGAGCCGGTTCCTCCCCGTCCAGATCTTCTCAGCCTCCAAACACCATGTGGCTTCTTATATCCTCCCTCTTCCCCCTCCTCAAAAGGATGAGAGAGGTCCCTCCTTTCCCTTCACCCTGTCTCAAATCGTAAATGATTAAGCATTTACGATTTTGTTATAATTAAATAAGCATTTATATATGTGTGTGTGCGTGTTTGTGTGTCTGTGTTTGTGTGTAAAGTAATTTTTAATATTAAATTTATATTTAATATAACAATAACAATTTTACATTAAATATATTATCTTTTTTTAAAAAATCGTGTTAGTGGCCCTCAGGATTTAAAAGTATGAGTTTGGTGGTACCTGAGGTCAAAAAGGTTGACGACCCCTGATGTATACTATCTCCTCCTCCTCCTCCTCCTCCAATCCATTGGGTAGAAAGAAAGGAGAACGCAATAGAAGCCTGTTGCATCCTGGGAGACTGAAACAGTTTTTAGGAGAAACATTTCCCCTTGACGTGTGTGTGTGTGTCTCAGTGGTAGCGAAGCCGGGGGGACTCTGACACAATGTGATTTAGATTTCCTCAAATTCAGCATTTCAATTTTTTATGTGGATGTGATGGGATATAATTTATTCCCGTGAAACGAGTTTGACTTCAAACATCCATATAGCATAGGAAATATTTCAAATGCTTCATTACCAGTAGGGCATCAAAACGGAGAGGCTAATTTTAATGTTCTCTTACGGGGATCTTTTGATATCTGAAATGGCCAATAAGCAGCTTCTTTGCCTCTGGTGATCTTGCACTGGAGACTATGTATGATTTACCATATCTATTTATTTTATCCTCCTATTGCCTCCTATTGCCATGGTTTAAATGGGAGGTTTTTGAAACATTTTCAGAATCTGTAAAATCTATTTAACAGATTTAAATGAGTGAACATGTATATATATATTCTTTTTTGTTTACTAACAAATTTTCCACAAAGTGATTCCTGGTTATCAAGCTAAAGCACCTGATTGCGCTGAGGAGGTTGCTACTACACTACAAAGAGAATGATTGAAAAGATGGAAACTTCATAATTGGATAGAATTGCTTGAGGGGTTGCCTAGAGTTTCGGCGGAGGAGTGGATGGTCTGGAGATGTTTAAATAGACTAAGCATTAGTACGGCTAGAAACAAATACCACACGGAAAAATGGGGGTTTCTCCCAGAGGACAATGATATTTACTATGAATGAGCCGCTATTCAAACAACTATCCATCTTTTACAGTGCCCCTTGGGACCGACATGCACATAGAATGACTTGCTAATCGGAAATATCCCTGCCATCACCATAGGCGGGAATTGGGCTAGAACTATGTACATTTATGTTTTTTTTATTAAAGTTTGTAATTTTTCAAAATTTAAGTTGATATTTCCCCTCTTCTAGTTCCTGCATTTCTGACACGAGATGAGCACTTGAAATTACCAAGATTTACAGGGTACTTACTTTCTATTCCGTTTTCGGACATGGTTGTAGGCTTCCAGACCTTCTGTTAGTGTTTTCAACTTGTCAGGTTCCACCTGAGAGAAGGTACAAATAATAAATTACATTACCTATTACATTCAATGATTCCAGAGTAAAGCTCAGCTTCAAGAGATCACAGTAAAACCCCAAACTTCACAGACATAATACAAAGAAATACATGAATTTACATTTCAAATTTGTGAAAAATTAAGGATGGAAACTTCAGGTTAAACATCTTCATAATCGGATACAACCGCTTGAGGAGATGCCTGGAGGTTTGGAGAAGTGGGTGGTCTGGAGATGTTTAAATAGATATGCAGTAATTTTTGGATGTCTTTAAGATAAAAATTACACTACCTTTACTAAGCTGATCCATAAAACATAATCTAGTTGTCACTGCATGAAAAAATAATAATAAAGTAATATCTCTTACCAAATTGTATGAGATCTTAAGTATTTCAAGATGAATATTGAAAACATACACAATGAATAGGAATACACATGGTCCTTACAATCACAATTGGAACTTTTGTTGCTAAGGGACGCAATGTTTAAATAAACCACGTGACCGCATCTGATTTTATGATCTTTTTGATATGGTCATTGAGAGAACTAAGTAGTCATTAAACAAATCTGGCTTCCCCTACTCATTTCGTTTGATGGAAACCCCCTTCCAGATCACAAATAATAACCATGTAACTTCAGGATGCAGCAACTGTTGTAAGTGCATGCCAGTTGCCAAGTGCCCGTATTACGATTACATGACTGCAGGGACATGGCAATGGCTGTAAATGCAAAGACTGGTCTTAAGTCACTTTTTTCAATGCTGTTGTAGCTTTGTGGGCTAAACAAATGGTTCTTAAGTTGAGAACTACCTGTATTTGAAATTCACCCACTCATAAAGTCCAACATTCAATTTCTGCAGTGGAAATTTTTTTAGTTCAAACGTAAGGCAAACTTGTTGTTTATATGCCATTATAAGGTTAGCAGCACAGTAGCAACTGCCCCCCAAAAGCAACACTGTTTAAGAAAAAAATCACAGTTGTATGCATTGGGGCAGAAGATTGCAGTGGCCTAGAGGTGGAGCTCTTGCCTCACAATCAGGAGGCTGTGAGTTCAACCCTAGGTAGAAGCAGATATTTCTCTCTCTGGGCACAATGAGAATATATCTGCTGAATAAAATTCTGCATTGGTGACAGGAAGGGCATCCGGCCATTAAATATTTTGCTAGCTCCATTCAGTTGCCTAGACTCCACCCCGCAAGGGATTATGGATGTGATGACTCAGGGTGGGTTACAAAACAAACACAGTCACAGAAAACAGGTGAAGCCCCTTTTATTCCTTCACTTTGCTTCCAAGCTCTGAATATCTTTGACGGAAGACAAAAAAACCCCCCACACAAACAGTTACATGGAGAAGGAAAAAAAGCAACACAAACCAGGCAAGATAAGGGCTGGAGGATGTCCACAGATAGCACAACTGGGAAGGACACCAAACTCAGAGAGGAATTATAAATTAGAGATATTTACACACTTTGTTTCCAGTGTTCGCCAGCACACAGGTCCAAACTCTTATTCAAACTCTTGTCACACCTGCAGCCCATGAAGAGGATCAAGGCCCTCTCCTCCCGAATAGACCACATCTCTGCCTTATCTTCTCCTCCCTGCGTGCCCTAGGATGGATAGGGGATGGGCCTGGGTCCTACTCGACTGCTCAGCCAGCCTCTACCCTTCCCCAGCCTCCTCCACAACCTCCGGAGCCACATTTCCACTCCCTGTCGGCTGTTCCTCTTCTCCCTCAGAGTCAGTCTCCACCAGGGGCATGACAATGGGGTTGTTAAAAGATGATGATGATAAGATTATGGGAGTACAGCCCCAAGCCAGTTTACCTATAACACCTATTGTGGTATTTCCCAAAGCTTCATCCCTCAATAACAACAAATATTTGCTTTGGGAAACAACTCTCATAAGGAAAAGAATACATTTTTTTTAGGACAATTGTAATGGACCAATAGCAATGTTCCGTTTGCCTTGGTAAGAGCTTTCTTTGGATTCTGAGGGGCCAACCAAAGCCTAACAGCAAGACTAGGCCCCTCCATATGGTTTTTAAATAAGAAGCAAAGGAAGTATCTTCTCAGACAATAATCCATTGTCTTAATATTGTTAATTATTAAAACAGTGAATATAAATTTTGTTTTGGCACCACTACTGCAGAATACAATTTGGTTCACTGTAATTAACAACAAAGCTACAAATTGGGCAACATAAAGAGATTTCAGCTGCATTGAAGTGATAAAAATTATATATTTCAGTAGCAGAGGGTTTTTAGTAAATCCTGTTTCTAACTGAACTTGGTAAATGCTTGAGTTGTTTTCTATAGCTATATGTACAAATGACATTACAATTATTATGTATAAATAACTTTGTTTTTCAAATAGCATTAAAAAAACTTCACAGTTCATTTCACTAACAAAAAACATCTAAATTAACATTTCACTTATAATAAACATCTAAATTAACATTTAAAGTATGAAACAATGCTATTATTACATCTTTTATTACTTTGGTTTGATGACATCCTATATTACTTTGGTGAAGGGTTTTGGTTTTTCTACATTTTCATTTCAACAATAGCTTTTTATTCCAATAATCGCTAATGTATACATTTTATGAATGCATGAACCATTACAACATCAATACTCCCAAGAAGTTCATTAAAAGCAATTGCAGAAGTGAAGCACAGAATTTCCATTTTTAATATCTACACCACGTTAACTGCTTGCAATTCCGTGTTCAGCGTTTCTTCCTCTAACTTTAATACAGTAGAGTTTGCGAGGCTGCACTGATAACTTTTACTTTGTATTCCAGGACCTTCTGAGGGATTGTGGACATAGCTTATTACAAAAAGTGCAAATGAAAACCTTTGCTGGGAAATTCAAAAGTTACTACAGGTGGTCCTTGACTTCGTGATGATGTGATCGCCATTTGCAATCTTCTCTGCCAGCTTCCCCAGAAAATTCATGTCTGGGGGTGGGATGTGTGTGTGTAAGTGCATGGGTTATATCCATATCTGCCTTGGTTCAAGCTGGCAGGGAGGGAAGGAGAGGTAGGGTACAGAGAAGCAGTGAATGAGGAATAGAGCGATACTCCCAGTTCTGAAAAGGTAGTAATGTACCCAGTCTTCAAAAGGCCATCCCGTGACTCAACTATTTTCAAAAACTATTGCTATCATAATTTCTTCTTTTGGGGAAGGTTGTTGAGAAGACAGTGTGACAGCAATTATGAAGGCTCTGCATAAATTGGATTATCTCAATGTCTTTCAGTCTAGATTCAGGCCTTGTCATGGAACAGAAACTGTATTGTTGTTCTTGTGGATGACTTGCAGCAGGAACAAATCCATCGATTTGTATAGTATATAAGGATGATGAAGGTACCCAGTTTTACACTTCTATACCAGCTGGTATAATTAAGGCTGTGGCTGTTGACCCAGTAGACTCTGAGGGAAAAAAGCCTCAAGATCAATCCCAACAAGATGTATTAATGCAGAAAGCTCATTGTTTTAGGAGTGCTCATTGTTTTGGATAGATGCAACTATCACTGGAGTAGCAAGTCTGCAATCTGGAGCAACTCCTATCTTTATAACTTTTTCTAGATCAGCAACTGGAAACCATGAGGATGATAACTCTTCCCCAACTTCAGCTGGGATATTTATTGCAGCGATTCCTAGATCATCAGATTCTATAACAGAAACTCCCATAATTTTCAATTTTTTCTTAGATTACTGCAATTCACCATACCTGAGGTTATTTTTTTTTTTTGCAAGATGCAATTGGTACAGGATGTGGCAGTCTACATATTAACCACAGAGTAGAATTTAGTAGAATAACCCAATGCAATAGGTTTCCCAATCCAATTTAAAGTGCTGACTATTACCTTTTATGGCTTTGGTCTTCATTACCTTGGAGACTGTCTGATGAAGATTGAATCTACCCATCCCAAACATTTGTGCTGAAAGGCCGTGCTACAGATCCCTCCCTTTGGGAAGAGAATGGGTATTGCTAGTAAGCAGGACTTCTTGTTTACAGTGCCTCATTCTGAAATAGGCTATCCTCCCAAAATCAAACTGTCTACACCCTCACTGACATTTGGAATAAAGCTAAAACATAGCCCTTCCAAAGTACCTTCACTGTAGGGGATGACTGGAAGCCTCTGCTGCTGCATGGCACCTAATAGTTTACATATTTATTTCTTATTAAATTTGTATGCTGCCCATCTTATGGATCGAGGAGACTCTGAGTGGCTTGGGCTGAGATAATATTATGTTTTTAATCTGTATGTTATTTTGTTGACTGTGGAAAGCCTAAACTTTAGAATAAATTAGTGTCATATAAATTTATGTAATCAATAAATACATTTTGTTATTAAACTTATTAGGTATTCTCAATATTTACTGAAAACAATTGGTCTATCACTGATGATGTTTCTTAGTTGGGTAATGAAACATCTGCAAGCAAACAACCAAGCTCAGAGAACACCAAGGATTCCATGCTCTATCATGGTGTATTAAAGATTCCGTGGAAATTTTTAAAGAGACATAATCATAACCTGTTGCCTTTTGTCAGCAAGGTAGAAGTCTTAAGACACTGAATCTATCCATGCCACCACTGGTGTCAGCTATATTAGTTAATTATTAGTGTCAGCTATATTAGTTTATTAATCTTTATAGGTATAAAAGCCAGAATTGTAAATGAACATTAATTCCTGAAACAAATATTACACAAATGCGTACTGGCTCAATATATCTTAGTAAATGTATTTTGTGGTTATGCAGTTAATATGTAGAATTTGATTAAAAGTAACAAGAAAATTTTTGATGCATTTTTATACAAGATATCGTATAATAATGCTATACGTACATGGTTCATTATTTGTAATGTCATAATATAATTAATATAATGACTCTCAACTAAATGTCAGAATTGTTACCATTTAAATTATTTAAAATTACTATTTGGTACTGTTCATAAGTGATCAACGCATACAGGTAAAGTCTTGGTTTTTTTTAGTTCCTGGCCAACATGAAATTCAGCTTACCATTTTTTCCTTACAATATAAAAAACTTTATTTACTTAAATCTCCTTCAGTTTATATTTCTGTTGGAAAGTTATTGTGGGAGGTGTGGTAGACTTTGGGGGCAGAGTTAAAAGATGGATCAGCCTAGAATCACTATGTAGCCATAAGCAAGCAAAGTCCAACACCCTCTTGAATCCAAACAGATGTTAATGGCTAGTTGAGAAAATTAATATCAGATACAAAAGTTCAGGTTCACATGTAGAGGTCCAATTAAACTGATTTATTACTAATCATGCCTAAACACAGGAATCTTCTCAACTCACAGTTAGCACCTACTTGGGGTTAGATAAGAGTCAATGGAATTCAAGGGAGATTAGACTTAATTTGCTTGTGGCTATACCTGATCCCTCTTTTAACTCAGTTACCCTGTGATAAGATGGGCAGTCAATAAATTTTGTAAACAAACGAACAAACAAAAAACTCTGCTTGCAAGTTCTGCCACTCCTTCTTCTACAGTCATTTGGACTATCTGATTTTTTTGCCAAGTTTTTGGAGAAATGATTGACCGCCAATGATGCTCTGAAAATGTTAACTTTTGATATCATCTCACACTAAAAAGGTTTTAGATTTGAATTTCTTTACGTTAGGTGATGAAATAAGTAGGGAAACTGAGCGAAATGGTAAGAAATCAAGCATGTTGTATGTATCATGCAAAACCAGAAAACTGTTAGTAAAAGTTTTTATATAAACATTTCCTTTAAAACAGTTTCTATGCAATCTATTCTAACATTCAATACCTGTTAACCCTGAACTGAAGACTTTCATTAAATTTGCTTAAACTAATGTTTAGGATACTTATATACTGAATAGAATGTTGTCTTTAATAAACATCTAAGAAGTTTATATCACTACCGAATAGATTGGTGGTATAGATGAGTGGCCTCTAATACCTCTTGTACTCCATAAACATTATGTTTTCCAAATGGTGAGCCAGTTTACTGTGGTTCATAATAAACTGGGAGATTTGTAAATTCTAGTCCTCCTTAGACATGAAAGCTAGCCGGATGGCTCTGGGTCAATTGAGCTGTCTCTCAAGCCATCATTCTCTCAGGCTTGTTGGGAAAAATAGAAGGCAGGAGCATTGTATGCTACTTTGAGATGTATAAAATGAAGGATATGATGGTATGATGATGATGATCATCATCATTCCTGAAAATGAACCAGGTTGGAACATCTCCAAATGTTACCGAAACAGATGGAATTGAAATGGTAATGTGTTTGAAATAGTGGTATTAATGTGTGTACGTGCGCTGAGCAAGAACTGCTATTGTGAAATGGCAAATAATGAAAAATACACCAGAAGTAGAAGAGAACCTGTGAATTTAAGCTGGACACTGAATAATGAGTGGGGGATAATTTGAACCTTGGGGTTAACATGTAATAAAGCACCTTCTGAGGTCTGGTATCATCCCTTATTATCATGATAATTACACTTTCTAATCTGTTTCATTAGTCAGTCTTGAGGGTTCTCAACTTCTGAAAGTAAAGTTTGCCTCTTGGTAAGAAACACTAGGTCTTAGTAGGAATTCACAGGGTGCATATGTACAAACGTTACAACCAGAGTAGAAATGATTTGCCTTGCAAAGGCAGTTTTTGTCCTATTCTCTTTAGTGACCATAGAGCATCTCTTGATCCAGCTTTCAAGTTGTTTAAGGGGTAAAACAATGGGATGACTTTCCTGCTATTAATGTTTTGGGAGTCTGCATCAAGAATTTAAATTAGGGATTTTTTTTTATCCTGCTTAGGATAGTTTGACTTATTTTATCTCAGCTTTAAGAGTTCATGGCTCCAGAGGGAGAGAAAATGCGGAGAAAAAGGATGTATTTCACAGTTTGGGAGCAATGCTGAAAAAGGGTGCTATCCACTTGTCAGAAAAGCAGGCTTCCAATAGCAGGAGTGTGTTTTGAAAATACCCTCCTGCTATTTGAACCAGACACAGGTTTCTAATAGGTACGGCAATCCTTTCTGAAAACCCTGTCTCCCTATGAACCTTTGCAACATTTTTGTTTACAATAATAAATGGAACAAAATCCTAAATATTTCATTTAGAAAAACAAATAAAAATGTCATCTAAGCATTACACTATATTCAAATGGCATCAAAATAGTGTAACCTAATGTGAGCGTACAGAATGGAGACTCGTTTTTGTTCCAGTAGAATGTACGTTAGTCTCCTAATTTATGCGTTTTTTTTAAAAAAAAGACAGTCCTATGCCTGAGCTATTCTTAAGGCTGAGAAGTGCTAATACAAAGCAATAATGCCTTTTAAAAATTATAGACAAGAGATAGGGATGCAAATTGAAAAATGCAATCAATACCTTTTCTCACCCTTTCTAAAAAAAACAAAAGTAACTACAAATCTCGATCATGTCATGCTTTTGTCAATATATAAATATAGGTATACATATGTATAAATGTACCTTCCCATCCTCAGCGCTTTGTTGACATGAGTTGTGAACGTCATCTTCTCTCACTAATTTACCAGGCCAAGACGACAGTCCTTTAATTTGGCTCCAGACCAAGTCCCCAACATTAAACGTCCTTGGTCTGTAATGTATCAACTCGTTTGAAGATGGGGAATCAGGATTCCTTAGGTCATCTTCGCTACTGATGCTTTTAGCATCTGAAGGACTAGGCACACACCCATTAATGCTTTTGGCATTAAAGTCTCCATTGTAATGGATGTAGTCTTTAATCAGAGAACTTTCAAAACTATTGGAGGAACTGGGAGACTGTTCTTCCACGCCTAGGTCTTGCTTAGAAGGATTCAGCAGCTCTCCAAACCCTCTGCTCTGTTGAGGCCGGTTTCCATTGATGTGCGCGCATCGTTCCACAGTGTTCTCGAGTCTCTCTTTAAAACTCATCATAGTTCTTTTGTAATTGCTATACCTGAAGTTCTCCTCCACCATCTTATCGCCGTGACAATTTCGCTGGGGTAATAATACTGGATGTTGCTTGCCTTGGACTAATGGCAATGTGGAAATATTGTTGGGCCTTTCATGGCAAGGACTACTGAGGATGTGGGATGAATGATCTAAAACCTCCTCGCATTTCCATCGATTCATCTCCCCTCCAGGGCTCTGCTCCCCTTCCCACTGTTTTTTTGGTGTGTTGCAACCTGTTGGTTTATAATATTCCAAACTATCCCCGTCGCTGGAATTTTTAAGGTGTTCCGAATTCTTCAATAACCGTGTCCCCCTAATGTTCCTTACTCTATCTTCATGATCAGAAATGCCAATATTCCGTCCATGTATTACTGCATTGACAGCACTGGAAAGGTTTAATGGATCACCAATTGAGGCTGTAAAGGCACTCATGGCACTCAGAGCTGGAATAGGGCTCATTTGTGTTGTACTGTTAACCGCGGTTGTGATTACTACTTGCATCCCCTTGCCTGCAGCATCTACCACTGCTTTGTAGATGGCATCAACTGAACCATCACTCTGGGCAGCTAAACCGATGTCCTTTGCCTGTTGTCCTACAGATGGTTCTGTCCTTTGTTGTAAATTGCATACAGCATCTTGAAAAGGAGGAATTGCTGCACTGGAACTTTCAGGAACTGGTGGCATCCCTATTTGAGAGATAATTCTCTTGTTCAGAAAAGCGGCCTCTTCCTGCATCCTCACCTTTAAAAATCATAGAAAAATAAAATTAGAGGCTGCCTTAAGACAAGGAAAGTTGCTAACAGTTAAAAACAGAGGCTAAAGCAACCATGGGGGTACTCATCCCTTTCTCAAGTATGTATCTGCAAAGGAAGAATACAATTAAAAGTAACATTACCTTAGTGTGATCTACAATATTTACAAAAGTTTTTTCGCACTTGTACAACTTAGATTGCAGGATACATCTCCTAACTAAACAAGAGTGATCCATCCCTGGACTTTTAAATTTGAATCTCAATTAAATACCATTTTCTGGTTGCTTTCATTTGATACATGCCCTTCCCATATCCCTTGGTTGATTAGCTCAGAAAAATTCGAAACATTCTTTTTTTCCTCTGATAAAAATATGCTTCTTGGATTGAATGATATACTTTGAAAAATGTATACTTTGATCAGGGGAAAACGTACATTTCAGGAATACATTTTGTATACATCTAATTCTCAAGGCTGTGAGTATAGTACTTCCGAAACAAATCAAAGCAGGTCTGTTTAGGAATACAGGAGCAGAAGCGCAGCACTTCTCTGCAACTCTTTAAAGCAACTATGTCTTCCTAAAATTACAAAAAAAGATTCTTGTACTTCTGCAGCTATCATGTAATCCCAGGGACTGATGCTTCATATATGCGGGGATTTCCCTCCTATTCCTTAATAACTCATGTTCATAGCCTCCATATTTTGTTACAATTTACAGTTGTGAACTCATCCTTTTTTACATTTATTTATGAAGATTCTATTATTACACTGCTTCCTGAATCCTTTTGAGTGTTCTTAAAATCTTATAGATTTTTGGCTGTTAATTACAAAAATAATCTGTAATTTAATGTATCACATACTGTTTATATAAATCTTTTGTTGTTATACAATGGCAACATTCAGTACCTGTTGGTTTTACTGTACTCATGAAAAAAAAACCCAGAACAAAAACCATGGAATTGGTTGTTGACGTACATCCAGTACATTAAGTACAAGTGGAACACAAGTTTTTGTATTTTTATAGTGTTTTATTTGCATTGTTTATAGGTGTTGTATAGTTTTATCTTTTTAATATTGTAAGCTGCCTAGAATTACCCTGTGATGAGCATGTAACAAATTTAATAAATAAATAATGTTGGTGATGTAAAAATAGTGGTTCTGCTGTTTGGAATATATCTTGGATACGTACCAAGTATTGTTGCTACACAGGCAAACAGCTGTGTAAGAAAGTCGCATTACATTAAAAAGAAATGGCTACTCTGAAGGAATTTGATTCCACAACAGAAAAACATGGCTCATGAGTCACCTGTTGACTTGATAAAGATATTGTTGTCTCTGCTTCACAAAACAAATTTCACGACGAATGAAAAATTTTGTGAAAGCAATGAACAAAGTGAAGGTTTCCAAGAATAACTGATGCTAAGATTAGAAAAGGTATTTTAACTGGTCCACAAATCAGATACATTATCAATGACAAAAGGTTTGAAGGCCTGTTAGTGGGGCCAGAGAAAATCTATAGCAAATCACCTAGAAAGAATTGAAGGATGTCGTTGAGCATTTTTTCGGCAACTACAGGGTACCAAACTACATTCAGCTGGTTGATAAATTTCTTACAGCACACAAGACCATGAAGAGCAATGTGCCACTAAAGGATTCATTTTCTGCATTCATACTTGGACTTCTTTCCTGAAAATCTAGATGCAGTCAGTGACGAACATGGTGAAAAGTTTCACCAAGACATTGCCGTAATGGAAAAAAAATAGTATTAGGGAAATTAGAATTCATCAATGCTGGCTAACTATTGTTGGACACTACAATAAGATGCATCAGAGACTGCATACAAACAAAAATCATCAGGAAAACTTTTTTGGACCCTGCTGAACTCAGGCAGTGTGTCAGAAACATTATGCGATTAAAGACATTATAGTTATTAAAAGTTAATGTAATATTTCTAAGTCATTCTGAAATTATACCTGTGTTCAGTTTGAATAATCACCAGAATTTTTTCAGGAAGCGAAACTTTTGGGGGGGAAGGCTGTCCGGTGTTATTAATGCCAACTGCATTTTCTCAGCTGTGGTTTACATTTTTCTTTGGCGATATAAACATCTGTGGCCTCAAACAAAAGTTTCAGAATTGCTTTTTTTCAATCCAAAGCTTTCTTTTGAATATTTGTTTGTCAGCTGAACTTATGTGTGTATATATACGGTATGTGTATGTGTTTGCATGTGTGTAGAGAGAGGAGAGAGCAATAAAGAAAGAAGAACAGAGTAAGATGGAAGCTCTCTTTTGCTATCAAGCATCTATTTATGTATTCATTGACATTATTTATAATTTGTCTTTTACTGTTGTTATAAAAAAGAGAGTTAAAAAAAGGAAACTGAACAAGCCAAATAAAAGTAGACTGCAGAGCCCAGTTTGAAAATATCTTATGCTATTTAATAATGTAAATTTTGGGACCATGGTTTTTGAGACTAGTCACGAGTTTCCACTATCCTCAAAGAAATTTAGGAGTTCCTTCCAAAATACAAGTTCCAAATAGTTAAGAGTTTAAAGCTTAAGCCTGGTACACTGAATTTAGCTCAGAAATAAGTTGTTAATAAATAAACAATGACTAGTTTAGAGATATGCATAATTCCTACAGAATGAAATAAATGTATTAAAAAGCAGCTGGGAATAAAAATAGATGGAAAGCAATGATTTTTTTTTGCAAACTAGTAAAATATATATTCTATTCATCATGCTGAACAAAGCTTTTCTTGTCATTGTCTAAATTATTTTTTCCTAGGTTTTCAATTCAGCAATACTTTAATAAAAGAAGAAATACAAATGATGTGTAAAACTGGCTTAATTTTTCAACTCAGAGGATGATAACGTTGTCTGAGTAAGGAAAATTTCTGTAAACATGCATTTACAACTCTCATGCTGAAATATAATGATTATACCACATTTATTCAATTTCATTTCTCCATGTAAAAAAACAACATTGCTTTCAGTTTAACACCTGAAACAGACATGCTCACAGTCAAACATTTTGAGAACCATGCCTAATTTTGATATGATAAAATGGATCCCATATATTTGCTTTATGATAAAATCCACATAAATATTAAAACGTAATAGCCGCTTGTATTATTTTTTACATGGATCCCTGAGAAACAAGCCAACTTCTACCTGAAAATTCTGGAACAGACAAGCCATAGGATTTGGGTTGTTAGGAGGTCCGGGAATAGGAAGCTGTCCTTGGAAGCCTTGGAGATTCTGATAACCTTGGAGAAGCTGCTGTTGCTGATTTGATGGAAACATCTGATTGTTGTTGAACAATGACTGTAGATGAGTGAGCTGATGGTTATTAAGAGTAGTGTTTATGGAGGGCACATCACCTGCAATTCCAAACACACGAATATTTAATTCAGTAATTCTCCCCAGAATAAGCATGTGTGTCATCCAAGTCATGTTTTTTTTTTCCATTTAGCAGCAAAGACACAGAATTAAATATTTTTCCTTGCAGCTTTTTACTGGACTTTGGTGATTATAGAACGTTCTTTTTCCTATTACAGCCACCTGACACCTGTCTACTATAAATTCTCTGATTTCTCCTTTCGATTAATTTATATATAGCAACATATAGGCTTGCTAAGCATAATGTGTGGTTTTTTCTTTTTGGCTTAGTGTGATGTTTGAAGCCATCCGGTGTAGTTTAAATGTTTTGCGCAAAGGAGGTACTACAGCTTGATTAATCTAAACATTATCCTTACCCATTTTCTGTGAACTGTGAAGGTGTAATATATCTAATGCTATCTAATTTATGAAACTTGTTCACACATTTGTTAAGAAATCTGTTCCTTTAATTGCTAATAACTTTCATAATATTTAAAAAACATATTCTACAATGTGAACTTATAGCTCTCTCTTTGTAATAAACTTTTATATATGTGTGTATCTATATTTGTATATCTGCATCTATTATATCTACTTTAATACTTTTTGAGTTTGCTAAAATCATGAAAAATAGCCTACACAAGCCAGAAGTTTTATTCACATATATATTTAACACATACATATTTAAGCAGACTTTTAGGACCTAGATCGAAAGCTTTTATAAAACGGAACTGGCTTTGCAAGAGACATGAAGGGGGGAGTGGAAGGACTTGGAATTATAGCATAATAAGAAGATTGCAGAATGAAAGACTATATGCAGATTATAGTTAATATAAATAGTCTGGTATTTATATTTGCTGGAACTAATTAATTTTTTATTATGAATTGTTAGTAAGTTAGACCTATGTTTAGTGAAATGCTGCTTTATCTAACTTCTTTCCTATGGTTTATTTCTGAAATCCAACAGCTCAACATGCACAGACACAAAATATTCAGGAATATTCCTAAAGGAAATTCAACAATTTGGCAGTTTCTTAGCCCACTTCATACAATTAAATTGTCCATTGTATAACTGTAATCTAATAAATGGTTCTCCCAACAAATGTGAAAATCCTCATATACAAATCATGTTCCTGAATTCAGTGGAAGAGTACAATACTCTCCCAGAGTTATAATATAATACTTAAATGTTTACTGAGGCTTATATTCTACTGAATGTATTCAGGACTGAAACCTTAAATATGTGACTTGGAAATCAGATTATTTAGAAACTGGTAGTTTCTAAGCTATATAAAAAATGAACACCCCCCCACCCCCACCCCCAAAGCCTGACCGTATGAACTTAAGCTGAAAGGTAGCTTGTTACCTTGAATCTGGTCTGGTTTATATATGTTGCTGCAATGGAATCTAGGGATTAGCTACATTGGCATATTTTAAATTCTATGGACATGGAATTTTTTTTTCATCCATTGCACAGCTACTCATACAACCCTGTGATGCCTTGGGTATTTTAAATAAAATGCTGCATCCCCAAGAAGCAACTGTGCAGTATGAATTTTGAAAAAAAAATAAAACAAAATCCATTCCAATTGGCTGACTGAATTGAGACAAACACCTGACTTTCTAAACAAAAGGTTTTAAAATGCTTTTTAACATTTGTTCTAAATTTTATTTGTGCTCTTTCACTGGATTGGTCAAACAGATTCACACAAACATAAACCTTTTAGGGGAAAAAAAGTGCAATGAAATGGAATTTTTTTTTCCTCCTTAAAAAAGTAGAAAATAGAAGCTCCCCCCACCACCGCTTTTTCCTTTCAAAATCTATGAAAATATTTAACTTACCAAGTAGACCTGTCCCCAGTAGAGGGTTAAGTAGCTGTGGCACCACAGAGTTATTGTTGAGTTTAGCTGGACCAGATGTATTCCCAGCATTATTAGATATGCTCAGCAATGTTTCTGCCATTGACACCACTGCTGTCCCACCAAGGGTTGAGACAGACAGTGCTGCCACTGCTGATGATGTAGTGGCTGTGCCAGTGGTAGCCTGGGAGGAGATTGCTATGGAAACCTCTGGATGGTTAGCAGTGCTGCCCGATGTAGAGTTCAAAACACCTCCCAACAGCTGGGGATTCAAGGTCATGAATCCTGAGGCCCCAGTGGCAGCTGGGAGGAGCAGGGGATTTGAAGCAGTGTCTGTGCTTGAAAAGCTTGGGAAAGAGTTTCCCAGGGGGTTGGTTAACAGGGTCTCAGCTCTGTTGGTATCTGACTGACTGCTAAGCAATTGGTCTGGCAGTGGGGCTGTCATCTGTGTTACTGAGGGCACGGTACCATTTTGTTGTTGCTGTAAGAGGTCTGAGATGGACAGATTGAAAGATGCTAAAGGGAACATGGCAGATGTTTGGGCTTGGTTTTGAAGAAGAGCTGCTAGCAGCTGAACATGGACAGGTTGTAGCACCTGCCCATCCACTTCACCGGAGAGCAAAGCTAAAGCGGCATTTACATTTGGGTTGAGAAAACCTAAAGGATTGAGGTTGACCTCAGACTTGCCTTCTCCTGTTGAAGGCTGAAGTATATTTAATAGATTCTGGTTAAGGAGGTGTTGCTGATTCACTGGCAAAGAGATAGGTAGCGAACTAAAGAGGTTAGGATTCAAAGAGTGCGGAAGACTGTTGCTTGAAGCGCTGTTCTGTGGAAAATGCAGAGGGTGCTCAGGACCAACAAAAGGAAAGTCATTCCCAAGAGGGAGTTGGCTATGTAGTGGCGTTCCAACTGCAGTTGTGACAATGACACCATCTTGAAGAACAGACGTTGTCTTGGTGATCCCAGGTTGACAGCTACCAGCTACAGCTGTAGATGATGGTGGACCTGTCCTTCCTGAAATTGGAAAATAAAGATTAAAATCATTTTAGTAGTTGAGTTATATTTAGGACTCCAACCATAATCTTAGGGCAAAAACCTGCCAGTTACACGAAACAATGATGCAACTCCAAGCCAAAATTAATTGTATTAAAACATGCTGAAGTGCCATATCTTTTAAAAAGTCCACAGGATAGCATACCTGGTAGGAGAAAATACAGCACAGACACGCTGGATTACAATTTCCAAACAGCATAGCCAAGGACAGGTTTCATCAAACTCATCATCCAAAACATTTAAGAAATACTAGCATATCTATTTCTGCTCTATGGATTTAGCTGTAACTACTCAGATGACTAGAGGCTCACTCATACTAATTCAAGACAACACTAAACAGGGGTTCTTGATCAACGATAAAGGATAACAAGTACTTTTTTTTTTTTACAAAAATCTCCCAATACTTAAAAGTATGTAACTGATTATTAATACAATTCTAAGAAACAATACATGAGAAATAATTTGCATTAATGTACTTAAAATTAAGTATCTATTCCATTTGTTTGCTTGGAGGCAAAGACTAAGGTCTGTACTAGAAGATGTTATCATATTTAAATACCAATGATTAAAAAAAAGTGTATGAAAAGATAAGAGGGGAAGGTTAGAGCCCAGAGCAAATGAATTCTTCTTTCAAGACTGCCACCATGTGGTTTTATCCATCTAGATTATAATGAGGACTCCGCATGACTTAGGTCAAACCTTTAAAGATATAAATGCTTCCAAGATTATGGGGGTGGGGAAGAGTAAGAAGAGCACAGGTCAATTTTCTCTGCTTACTAGCAGATCTCCCTGAAAATCCCATATAAGTTATTTCAGTATAGAATTTTTAAAATAATAATTGCATTAATATACCACTCTTCTTTTTGTAAGCTTAAAACATTGTAAATGGTCCTATCCCAGTTTTGAAATTTTCAGACTTCTGAAACATTGATGAGACTGAGATGTAATCTACACTGGGTTTCTATATTTAAACATCACTTTAAACTACAACACATTACACAAATACTGCAAAAATATGCTAAATCTTATTAACAGACCATTGCCAATAGCCCATATAGCTATTCCATTTCCAATATTTTTATTTATTTACATATACTGCATATTTAGTATGTTACGTTTATTTTGAAAATATTGGAGTGTTAAATAATACTGATGATATCAATAAAAATTGTATCAACCAAAAATCAGCATCAAGAAAAAACAGACAAGCACAAAGAGATAGAATCAATAGATTGATAGAAAGATATTTCCTGCTTTTATTTTTGTACAACTCATTGTAACCTATAGCTTTGGAAATGAAATGTAAACTCATGAGTCCAATAGCATCTTTTCTGATTAATACATTTTATTCAAAGCCAAATTTTATGCATGTACATCTCTCAAAGTAAACTGCAATTTGTATTAGTCAGCAAGGATGCTACCAGGTTCTTGAATTCTGACCACTATAAGCTAATATGGTTTTCTTCCTACAATGGAAAATAACCATTGTTTACTGTGAAAAGTGAATTGAGACGTTAAAAAATGGTCTTGAAAGGTAATTATTTGTACTAACACAGAACACTAAGTTTGCTCTAAATGAAAATATAAAAATGGAGGTTAATTTTGTGTCAGCAGTGTTTTGTTTTATTTGCTAATAAAAATTGGCAAACTGCTGAGTGAAGAAAGCACTCATCATAGTTTTATGTTCTTCTAGTCTTAGGAAAATAGCTATGGAAAATGAAGCCAAAGTCAGACAAAATTTAATTCTTTGCACAAATCAAATTCCAATTGGAGAGTATGACTATTACTGAAAAATTAAATAAAATTAATCCAAAAAAGAAGAAAAACTAGCAAGGTTGATACTTTCTGGGGAAAGGTTAAGGAAGCAAACAATCTGATACATCCCTGCACAGACTATATGGAACAGGAAAAGACAGTGTGAAAGTCTTATCAAATGCATTTCCACTCAATGCTAATATCCCGATCAAAATCTCAACAGGAAAGATATACCTGAACTTTACTATAATTTTCCAATTTCCTTGTTTTCAAAAAGGAACACTTTCTTAAGGCAGGGGTGGGATGCTACTGGTTCAGCCCAGTTCTATAGAACCGGTAGCTCTGAAGAGCAGCAGACACCAAACTGGTTCGGTGTTTGCTGCTCTGTTTGGCCTACCCGCCCGCTCTTGGCTGTCCTTTATTTCCTGCTTTTTCAACCTCAGCTGCTTTGCGCGGTACAGCTGAGATTGAAAAAGCAGGACATAAGAGGGTTTTCAAAAGCTGTGCACCCTCACGCAGCACTTCTCAGCTGTCCAGGAGTCACAGCTGAGGTAAACGCACTCTCACCAGGATGGGATTCTACCTGCCGGACAACTGGAAAAATCGTGCCGCTGGCTGGCCCCGTCCCACCCACTCACTCCTTACCTGGCATGCGCACCATCAAACTTGCCTGCTAAGTTGCTATTTTTCCTTTTTTTTGCCCCCAGACCATCAGCTGTTCTGCTGTGCTAGGAGATTTAGATAAGCTAGAAAGCAGGAAATAGTTGGATTTCTTACTTTCTAGCTAATCTAAAAGCAGAGCTGAGTCTGAAGCCTATATTATTCAGTGCAGACTCAGATAGCAGATGACAGAAACACAGATCTCTAAGTGAATCTGTGATTCTATGAGCAACTCAATCTGCTTGCCTGCTCTGCCTGATTTTGGGTAAAGTTGCTCTTTTTTATATAAAGAATTCAATATTTACATACATGGTGTGTTGTGAGTTAATTTTGTGAGTTTGCTTGCTAGCAAATTTTATGAGTTTGCTTGCAATCAAATTTTATGTGACAGACTCAGGCAGCCAATTGCAGAAACATAGATTTCTGAATGAATCTGTGATTCTGTGAGCAACTCAATCTGCCTGCTTTGCCTGATTTTGGGTAAAAGTTGCTCTTTTTTAAATAAAAGTTCAAAATTTACATAAATATTTATAATATTTGTATACAAGCTGTACGCAGCCAATCACATGAGCACCAAGCCATGCCCAGTTAGCAAGCTGAGCCCAGCCAGTCACATGACCACAAAGCCACACCCACAGAACTGGTTGTTAAGAAATTTGAATCCCACCTCTGGTTTATACTGTTTTATGAAAGGGATTTACATAATTGGTGAAGCTGAATGGTAATAGTTTCCATACATTTCTAAATTTCTACTCAGATAAACTATGATTTTTAACACCTTCCAGATTAGACTTCTTAACATTGATCAGTATCTGAAATAAGTTAATGCTTTTGGTCGTACCTGCACCTGTTCATAAAAAAGGGTTGTAAAGAGTGAAACTATACTAGCAAATTAGGATAATAGAAAATTATTAACTTATTGATATTTATTTTATACTAAAACTATTATATAAACCTTTAATATTGACCATTGCTCAAGATGCCTTTCAATAAATCATAGTTCCAGCAAATGTCATATTTTGATATAAAGTAGCTAAGAAAGTGTCTAGCAATGTGAATTTAATTCTTTAAACCCAATTCTCCTACCAGAATGCAATGACGCCATGGGAATAGCCATCCTCAAGGAAACATCTTTGTCTTCTAAGCTTGAGTATAAACAGTAAACTAGCAGGCTTTGCTTGTGAGAGATCTGGAAGCAACTCCTGATTGGTGTCTTAAGAAGAACCAATATCTTCCTCAGCTCCCAGATTTTCCTGTTGGTCTTGTGTATAGTATAAGAACGGCAGGAATATATTTTTATTTATTTATTTATTTATTTGTATCCTGCCTTTATTATTTTTACAAATGTCAAGGTGGAGGTCATATCTAATATACCTTCCTCTTATTTTCCCCACAATAACAACCCTATGAAGTGAGTTGGGCTTATAGTGAGTGAGCGAGTGACTGGCTCAAGGTCACCCAGCTGGTTTTCATGCTCAAGGCGGGACTAAAACTCACGGTTTCCCGCTTTCTTGCCTGGTGACTTAAGCACTATACCAAACTCTCTTATATCTTGATTTTCAGCAAAGGTTCTTTTCTATAGATTATTAAAAGGTTGGTAAATAATTGCAGGTCTGATCACTTCAAAGCTGTTATTAAATCAATGCTATTTTAAGACCATCAGAAGATAACTGACTGAGCTGGCTAGAAGAATGGTCATTGCCTCCTACAAATCCCATCAAGCCTTCAAAAGTGTATCTGTAAAAATGCCACTAAGCTCTTTTTATTATGGAACTAAATAATTTCTAATCTGTTCAAGTATTCTATTTCTAATGTGACTAAGTTCAGCTAATTATGCCAGTGCAAATTGGCCATCAAAAGCATACATTCTGAGTTTGAAAAACATAAAGTCAGGGGTGGGATGCAAATATTTTTACTACCCGTTCTGTGGATGTGGCTTCTTCTTCTGCTGCTTCTTTTTTTTCTTTTTGCAGCAAACCACCCCCCCCCCTCCATTTTTTTTGCCTCCTGGGCCTCAGGGAAGCCTCCTGGGAGGCCATTTTTTCTCCCTGGAGGCTTCCCTGAAGCCCAGGAGGCAAAAAATGGACTGCGAGGAAGGCCACACAGCACCCCACCACATGCCCACATGCCTCCTGGGCCTCAAGGAAGCCTCCTGAGTGAAGCAGTAAGACAGTAAAGGGGATACCGGCACAGCTGATCGTCAGAACAACTGATCGTCAAGAAGAAAAAGAAATGGAATACTGTAAAGAGTGACTGGGCAGGGTGGGGGAGAATGCAGTCAGCGATGTCGCACATGCACACGAGGTCATGCATGCGCCATAAGGACTGCCTGGGGGGAGAGGGGAGGGGCAAGTGGAGAGGGGCGGGGCCAGCCAGGGGTATGATTTTCCAGTTCTCCGAACTGCGCAGAATCGTAACAACCGGTTGTACTGAAATGGTCCAAACCGGTAGAATCCCATCCCTGCATAAAATTAGTATCAATATCCTATGAACATTATTTCTGCTTCTCAGTTCTGAACTGCTGTGTTGACAGAGAAGATCCGTAGAAAGATAATAGATACTTCTCCAGTATTATATAAAAGCCAATTTACATACAGTTGACTGTATATTTAAAAATTTCAAAGGCCAGAAAAATTTGTGTTATGCAAGCATTATAAAGTAGTATGCTGCAAGGATAAATATCTATCCTATCCAAAAAACAGCTTAGGCAAAGCTTTCTAAAACATAATGTTCATTGCAGGGAATATTTGTATTTTCAGTTTAAGACAACACCTCAAGAAATCCACAGGAAAAAAAAATACTGTTTAGGACTGTGATGGCGAACCTATGGCACACGTCCCATAGGTGGCATGCAGAGCCTTTTGTGAGGTCATGCAAGTTCCAGCCAAACTTAACTGCACTGTGCATGCGTACCTCCCAGATGATTTTTGGCCCATTGGAGGCTTGTTTCAGACTCCCAGAGGCTCGAGGGAAGCCTCTGCAGCCTTTGGAGGCTGAAAAACAGGCCTGTTTTGTCACTTCCTGTATTTTTGGAAATACTGGAAGTGATGAAATGGGCCCATTTTTTGGCTTCCCTCGAGCCTCTGGGAGGCCGAAAATCAGCTGGGAGGCACGCAGTACAGGTAAGGGAGTGGCGAGGGGGGAATTACATGCGCATGCACAGGGGGGCCTGGGGGGGCTGAGCACATTGCCTTCTGGGTGCTGGCATGGGAGCGCGCACACACACACACACAATTTTCAGCACAGGAGCCCAAAACGGTTAGCCACCACTGGTTTAGGTAGTTGCCAGTTCCTCTGATATATAAGTTGCTATTACCACGACTAATAATTAAACAGCTAATAAACACGCCTTACCCGGAAGCAAAAGATTAAGAATTAATATGACCATGCAGGACTACACAACTAAAATTTATGATCTATATATTTCCATTTCTTTATAAATTCGTTTTAAATTCCAATTACACTGCCCATACAATGTTGACTTCTACTTAGATTGTATCCTGGGTCCAAGTTATGTTAATGTTTTCTTTTTGTACAGCCGAAGAAATGTTTGTGCTTTCTTCTTAAAATACTTCTTTTCTACTTGAGCGACAGTCTCATCTCGCTAAGATTGGCCTGCCCCACCCGTGCCGGTAGAGAAGGCATGTTGTGGGCCCTATCAGTCAAGATATTCCACCTGGCAAGGTCCAATCCGCCATTGCCTTCTGGAACATCTTATCTCCTGAAGTGAGGTCAGTTCCAACCCTCCTGACCTTCCAGGAGAGCTTAAAAACCTGGCTCTTCCAGTTGGTTTGGACCTTCAATGGAGAAGCTTCATGCTGTGGGTGATCAATGACATATCCCACCTTCTTTCCCTCTCATCACATCCCCCCCATCTTTTTTAGCTAGGTTGGTTTTATAATATTATATTTATATTGTTACGAATTATAAAGTTTTTTTATCTTTCAATATTATCAGTTGTCCAGATTTATTGTGTGGCAAGATGGGCGGCTAATACATTGTACAAACTAACAAACCCAAGACAACCCATTAAAAGACGAGGAAGGCCATAATTTAAAAGGGTAACGTACCTGATTCAGGACTGGTTTGATTGCAGCTGTTCATAATGCTGTTTGGTATCACTTTCGTGGAAGGTGCTTGGATTCGTGGATGAGCTGGATTCAGATGTAATGAATTTCCTAAAGTCATTCCCGACTGATTGAGCACCCCACAGTTTCCAGTAGGCTGCATCTGGTTTATTAAGCCTGCAAGATGGTTATTGGGGCCAGGACTAGTGCAGTGGCCAAAATTAGCGTTTGAATTCAGGCAGTGCATACTTTCCCCTCTCAAAGGTAAATCCTGTGCCAGTGAATTCGGAAGAGTGCTCGAGCTCATAGTAGTATCGGTAAAATGTAGTTGGTTAGCAGAGCAAGGCAAAACAGTATTTGAGCTCCCACAACTAGAAATACTATTGCTGCTCATATGAGAGCTTTGGCAGCTCATGGACTGAAGTAACTGAGACATTGATGTGATGGGAAATGAACCCTGGTTTTGCTTTCTTATCAAATCAGGGCCGGATTTTGGAACGCCCACTGAGCTGTCCAATTGAGACTGCCTAAGCAAACTCAACACTGTAGTGGTTGGGGGTTTCCTTTTCCTCAAAGGATCTTTTTGTTGAGACATAAGTTTATCTCGTAGTGCTGCTCGACCACTCTGCCCTTCATTCGTCGGGAGAAGCACATTGGTGGTCGGTGGAAACATGGGGTTTAAAGTGCTATGTCCGTCATTGCTGCTATTGCTGGCAACTATTCCAGAATTGCTACTGCTGTTATTGTTATTGTTACCAGCAAGTTTATTTTGATTTGCTAGCTGTGCTTTGGCTGCTGCTGAGAGTAAACTACTAGCTGGAAAAGAGGCAGCATTGTGCTGATTCAAGATCTGATTTAAAGGCATTCCCAGCAAGCCAGGTTGACTCTTCACGGACCCACTTCCGGTAGACGCAGGTGGAAAAGCTGCATTTCCCAAAGGGTTCAACACGTTACTCATTCCAGCAATCAATGAGTTAGGAATGTCCTTATATTGGTGGAATCCATCGATCTTCATGGAAGGGCTTGATGGCATGGATGGTCTAGGAGATCCTATTGTTGATCTTGGTGACCGAGGAGGGACTTTAATATTAGTACAAGATGACTGTGGTCCTACTGGCATCATGAAATTTCCATGATCTGATGATGTGGAAGAAGAGCGTGATCTTTGGGGTGAAGCCTCAATCCTTCCAATTCCAGATCCCATCATATGAACTGGTGACGTTACTGGTGAGGGCGAGAGAGAAGTTGAAGCAGAGTGCTGAACTCTTTGCATGTGGCTTCCGTGGTTTGTGTGACCAGGTTTTACAGTTGGCAAAGGGAGATTACTTGGTAAAGGAACAACAGCTGGAGGCATGCTTACATTCATCACAGGTACCTGAGAGTGGACATTTGAATGGTAAGTACTTGGATTCATTATAACAGGATTTTGATTCATGGGCTTGCTGGGAATGGGGTCAAGAATGCCAAGTGGATCCTTTTCTGATGTTAATGGCTTTTTCTGAAGTATACATGAAGAAGGTGGTGGCGGCGGTGGTGGCGGCGGTAGCGGGCCTTGAGGTGGTTTGTGGTGAAACACTGCTCGCGACATTTCCATATTAGCTGAAAAATTACACATGGGTTTTTTCATTACTGGACTTTTGGTGGTCAGAGTTGGAGAAAGAGGTATATTAGTTCTTCCAGCCATTGCACAAGATGACTGCACAGGAGAACCATGTAACATAACAGAGGGTGGGGATAGAGGGGTCCTGTTCATGTGAACAGGGCTAGAATTGGGTGCTCCATGAAAATTGGAATTATTCCTTGTGAAAACATCTGGACTTCCAAGTGGATCTGTCCTAGGTGAGATTGAACCATCTCCATATATTTGTGATCCCGATGACGCTGGACTAGGCATTCCTCCATGACTGCCACGATATGGCGACTTCTGCCCGTGTTCATTATTGCCCAATCTCTGTCTAGGATAGACAGAATGAAGTTCTTGTTGGCTTGCAGTCATCTCTTGCACATATAACCTACCCATGGCATTTGAGGCTCCCATCATCAACTTGAAAGGAGTTTTACATTCTGGCATCACAGAATTAGTTATTCCTTCATGTGACTTATTCCTCACTGATCTTGGAGTTGCTGCTCGTGAAGGTACTATTGGACTTATGTCTGATTTGAAAAAAAACACAAAAATTACTATTTCGCAACTACATAATTCATATAATAAAATTTAAATTACTTAAACCAGGAATTCTGGTAGACGTTCACATACTGTATACCGTATATGCCCTATTACCATTTTTCCTATTTTATACTTGTCTAAATGTATGGTTTCAATCTTCAAAGTTCTCAGAAATGCCTATCCTTGATGCCCATCATTTCTGATGTGCCCAATTCAGGGAAGACCTATGTCACTGCAGCAAACTGGGAACAGAAATTCAATCAATTGAAAATTGATCTTTGCAGCCCTTCTATAGTATCTACAGTAGACAATTGGAGCATTCAATGTTGTAGGAACTAGGTAATACAACCAATTATTTAGACTTTTAGATCTAACCAAAGTTAACTGTGCAATTCAGCTAGAAAAATCAAATAACTTCCTTTATCCCATATGAAATAAAAATATCACAATGATACCGGTATGGCACCTGTGGGCCTACATTTCTATATGAAACCATGCATATGACTTTTTGGTCTAAGCAAAATTCTGTTCAGGTACAAGTTGAACTACTCTGAATTGGCTCCCTATGGATTTCACTAGCACCTAAAATTGGATTCCTTCACATATACTACAAATATTTCAGATTGTACCTAATTGTCTACCTCTTGACATAGCATAACAGTATGACTTGGGTCCTCCATATTCTTTATGCTCTCCCATGGGACACTTGTCATAGTTGGAAGTCTCAAAGCACAGGAAGGCCTACAATGATATTCTTTCTCTCCATTTGTGCTTGAGGAATGATGAGCCCCTTCTCAGAAGGGCCATGACAATACCCCTGTGACCCTCTCTTTAAGTGGCTTACAGAGCCAGCATTTTGCCCTTAACAATCTGGTTCCTCATTTTATCGACCTCAGAAGCATGGAAGGCTGAGCCAACCTTGAGCCAGTGGGAATCGAACTGTCAAAATGCTTGGCAGTCAGCAGTCAGCAGAATTAGCCTGTAGTACTGCATTCTAACCATTGCACCACCATGGCTCTAATAAAGATTGGTTTGATTTTTTAGGCCTGTGCATGCTTCAAATTATATTACAAGGATACTTTTGAGATGCCAGAGGTGCAAATGTAGCATCTGTCTGCAACTCTTTAAAACAAATCCATCTTTTATTACCTTTCTTGCCACCTTCTGGCCTCCCCCAATTGCTTGTTCAAAGTTCCCTGGGTATGGTGCTCATGGGACTCTAGGATGCTTCAACCATTGATAAGTGCCCAAATTTTTATCACATGATAATGGGACTGCTGCTACCATGGTCATAAGTATAGCAATAGCACTTAGACTTAGATACTGCTTTATAGTGCTTTACAGCCCTCTCTAAGCGGTTTACAGAATCAGCATATTGCCCCCACAATTTGGATCCTCATTTTACCCACCTTAGAAGGATGGAAGGCTGAGTGAACCTATGAGGAACAAATCTAGGTAACCTTTTTAAAGCTCTATTCTAACTTTGCATAATTGTTAAGGATTACCTGTATTCAAAGAATGCTGATAGCATAGCTACTTCCCATGCACAGTAAATTCCCAGAATTGCAGCTTTCTGCCAAGATATGGGACTGTCACACTGATTTACTTATCTAAATATTTTTACAGACGAAGCCTCTAATACCATAGCTCAGGATCATTCTAACCAAAACAACCATTTTTGCACCTTACAAAAAAGTATTATCTAAATAGCTCTCTATAACTACAATACTAGGGAGTGAACCACAGACCTTTGCACATAAAGCTGGTATGCGTAATATTTTAAATTCCACTCCAAGTGGAGGTAAATTTAAAATGGATTAAGACAAGATAGTTCAAAGTCTGGATAAATGTCTCTCATAAACAGATGGACATGCCTATAGAAAAAGTTATCAACCTTTGTAATTTTTAAAAAAATCCTCTTTACTTATGCAAATGACATGCATATCAGTACTGGATTTCCTCGTTCCCTGTAATGAGAAAGAGAACTCACTTGTTCCACCTCCAGGACTAGTTAGAACCAATGAGGGATGTGGTGCTTCCATGCTTTTATGAAGGGTAGCCACAGCAATAATTTTCCGCTTATGGATGCATAGCTTAGTGACATCTTCATCTGCTTTAACATCTTCAGCTGTTCTTTGTGTTACAGCAACTCCAGGGTCAAAATTAAATACCTTAAAATAATGTTGGAATCATAATGTTACATAGTGGTCCTCATTAAGATCACTGATCCAACGGCAACTGAAACATTATCTAATTTCTTCTAAAACTGGTCCATCAAATAAAATGTTATTTTTAAAAAAAGAGCTGCCCTTCTAGAGTACCTGGAGAGCAACCTGTAACTGATTATATGACTCATGAACCCTTTATCACAGAACTTAAGAGATCCTTTTGACTTGGTGCTGGAAAATCTGTGGGATGATGTTCTGCTGTTTTAAGGATTCTTTTAATATTTTAAAGATAGGGGGATATCAATTCTCAGAATTTCCATCTAAGTTTGTCTGTTGAGAATTTTGAAATTTGAACTTTTTATATCTGGAAATTGTCAAGATCGGAAACGATTGGTTTAAAGCATTACGATAATTCTTCTACCCTCCAAAAAACTCAACCATTCAACATATTAACAACAACAAAACACTGCCAGGGGAACAAGGAAAACCTGGAAGAGTTGCCCACTCTGGCTCATGGAAGGAGGTGGTGGTAGGGGATAAAGATGGGAATTGTTGCCCACTTCTGATCCAGAAGATTAAGGTAACCACAGTACCAATTGTTCTCCACAAAATTTTCTAATACATTGTTTAAATTGTAGCTTAAAAAATATTTCTTACTACAGGGTTTTGTTCTTCTGTCTTGGACCATCAATACTTTTCTCCTTTATCTATTGTTTCTTTCAAACCCTATTTCTAAATGTGGAAAAGAGTACAGCTATTTATTTTTAAAGGCACTTTGGAACTGCTACACTGTAGAACGGCGACTAAGAAAACTGATCTGACAAAGGTGTGCTTTTGCACATTATTCTACTGGCCAATCATGTCACGTTACTTTTTTATGATATCCCATGCCCTACTTCTCCTTCCACCCATTCCTTCTCCTCCTAAATCAGTTTGTGTTCAATTTCAAAAACATTTAAATATTTAAATTGTATCTGACTTATATTCATCGTCAACATCTATCAACCTCAATTAGGAAGGATAATACCTTCTTATAATAGATAGGGAGTTGTTAGTACTTAAAACCCAATACATTTCAAGTTATGTTACTTTTTCATTTAGTATATTCAAATATCTAATTTTACCTTAGGAAGGATGAGAGGACATTCTAAACCACACTTGCATGTTCCATCAGTCAACAGGTATGTTTTAACCTGCTCCAAACAGGACAATAAAGACCCACTAGGACTGAAAGAATAAAACAGGTAACAAATCTATGTCAATTAGTGTTAGAAGCACCTTATGTTAACAGTTCAAGTAGCAGATTAAAAAGCAATAACAGTCAATATAATTTATCAAGAAGTCAAGAAGAATATTTTTTTCCATTTAGAACAGTATTTTTAATGTATTTTTCTCTGGCCATTTTGCAACAAGCATTCAAAGCTTGAGATTTTAGTTCTTCTGAATACTGTGACTATCACTTGTTAATTTATAATGAATTCAGTATGCATATGTCATCACATATTTAATATATAATTTGAATATGAGATTATTGTTAAGGCACTAAAGGTTATTTTGACAATGGAGAGTTTTTGTGAATGTTGTGTTTTTCTTCCATATCTCATTTTCTATTTCATCGTTTCTTGTCCTTGAAGGTTAAATGATTCAGAGTTGTTTGGGAATCAGGTGGCCTCCAAATCTCATAAAATAAATAAATTTAATGCATAGATGTATTGTGGAACTATTGTTCAATTATTTCTGACACAGAATTAGGCCCATACTGGGAGAATTTCTCTTTCTCTCTCTCATCCCCCCTCTCCCTCTCACACTCACTCACACACGTTCAAGCTTCTATATCATATAATTGTTTTTAACCAACATCACTAACCTACTGCAAGATCCCTTCACTAGCGCACAATGCAATTTGGATAGTAATGTAGTCTATAAGAGAAATGGTTTCTGGAATGCTTTTGTTTAGATCAGGCATGTCCAATCTGTAGCCCACGGGCTGCACGCGGTCTTGAACATCTGGTAGTGTGGCCTTACAAGATAATAATAAAAAAATATAATAAAGGAAGTTTATTGTTTTTATACATTAGTTATACTATGTATTTTATATGCGGCCCAAGACAATTCCATTTCACTCTATGCAGCCCAGCCCAGCCCAGCCAAATGTTTGGTCAACCATGGCTTAGACTATATGTAGTGAAAGGTTGTTTATAACTACTGGACAAGTCAGCATAAAGGATACAGTAAGTAGAAAGGTATCTGGAGCACAGTCCATTTTACGTATTTGGCCTACTCAAACAGTGACAGTTTATTTTGGGATATATGCACAGTACTCCCAAGCAAGCTACTGCATAATTGGAAATGGAATAAAAGAGACTCTCATTTCCTGTTCTTCTGTTGTTCGGAAGTCTCAAAATTCTGCCTGCTATTTGCACCCAGCCGAATTCTGCAACTGAGGATATCTTGCCCTTCAATCATCTTTTGGGGTAGGAAGGATCTTGTCCTCTAGAGCAGGGTCTTCCAACCTTGGCAACTTTAAGATTTGTAGACTTCAACTTCCAGAATTCCTCAGCCAGCTTTGCTGAGATTCTGGGAGTTGAAGTCCACAAGTCTTAAAGTTGCCAAGGTTGGAAGACCCCTGCTCTAGGGCATCCTGGAGCTGTGAGGGTACTGAGGCCTAAAAATATATTACGTAAAATCAGGATATTCTTCACCTTCCACTTCTAACCCTAGTTCCAAAAGCAGTTCACCTAATAATGTACACATGTTCAAAGTATAGCATAAAGTGGCACCAAGGAATGTTATCTAATTGTTTCCTGAAGAAGGTTGGATATTGAAATTTTGCGCACATCAGAACTAAGCTTAAAACACAAACTTTTTCTCCCTTGCAAGAAAGTGAGTAACCAAACCTAGACTGTAGTCTGTCAATGTTACACTTCAAAATCACTGCATTTCTCAGGAATTTCAATTTTATTTTAGTTAAATTATTAAGGATATTCCTGAATTGGTGGCATCAAGGTGATGAGAAAGGTTGAAAATATTGCAAAATTTTGGGATCATGGCATTGCTGTTTTATAGTGTTATTGTGATTTTACAGATTTTTACCTTCATTAAAAATACTTCAGATTTTCCATAGATGAGCTGATAAGTCCTGATTATTAATTACTTGATATTTCTCACTTTGAAGCGCTAAAAGTAGTTCTTGACTGATGACCAGAATTGAGCCTCGAATTATGGTGATAAACGGTTGTGGTCGCTAAGTGAGATGCCCACACATGATCGTCTCTCTTAATGACCACATTGCTGGCTCTTACTATTGTGATCCATTAACCAACTGTGCAGGTCATTAAGCGGGGTGCCCCAGGGAGTGGGGGAGCCCTGGCACAGGCCCAGACCTGCATTGCAGCACTTCCCCAACTCACACGCGGCTTATTCTGGGATGCCCTCACCCCCCACCCCTGAGGCATCCCTTGTGCAGCTTCCTGATCCTCTGAGACCCACATCCTTGGACCTCATCCTCCTGGTTACATCTTACACCAATTGCCTCTTCCAAAGGTCATTTTTCTGAAACAGCGTCCAACTGATGTGACATGTGATCTTCTGAAAGATTGTGAGAAAGGTAGCCATTTCCAGAATGGCGTGAGGTGGCCGTGTGTTGCATTGGCTGGGTGCTCTTTTGGAAAGGCAACTCTCAGATCACAAGAACTGCAGCTGCTTACAAGATGGCACTCGCTTCCTGATGGCACAAGGCAGCTTCTGTATAAGAAGGCTGTGCAATGCATTATCTGATTAGAAAGGAAGAGATGAGTGGAGCAAGACATGATGGGACAAAGAGAAGGCCCAAGGGAGAGGGACCCAGCAGGATGGCCTGTGGGACCTAGCTGAGTGAGAAGCAGGCCCGGGGATCCAACCAGAGCAGAAGGCGGGGGGGGGCGGGGGGAGAAGATTGGCAGGTGAGTCAGTTGCAGTGTCCCTATAGTCAGTCTTAAGTGTGAGTGGATTGCCAAACATCCAAAGTGTGATCACTGGCTGCAAGGATGCTACAGTCGCCATAATGTCAGGTACAGGTTGTCTCTTTGTTCAGCACCGCCATAATTGTGAATGGACACTGAATGGATGGTTCTAAGCCAAGGACTACCTGTAACACAATGAATGACTGTTGGAACTGGATGTTGCCTAATTTAGGTAACACTTCATGTGGTACTCTAACAAAACACAGGAACATAAATTACATATATGCTGTTCAAATAAATATAGCTCCATTGAAAACTACAATATGAATGAAATCTCCCTTTAATTGTGTAAAATTTGGAACTTCCAGGAGTCATTTTCATTTGCTTTTAAGTATTACTTCATGTTTTTGCAAAATTCCAGTCTTTTCTCCATTCTATTGTTTGCACCATTCCTTCCAAATATGCTGTTGAAGAAAATTATGCCCTGCTTTATATCTGATACGGTAAACTAATCACGGATCAGTTATTGCTATATAAATCAAATGAATCTGAAAGATTACTAAAGCTGATAGTATAGCTGCTATTCTGACCATGCCATGCCATGTCATGTGCTCCAAGGAAGCAAAGCTTCAAATTCCTTAACATACCGATCAGCTGGCAATTACCCAAGTCCTTTGCCAAAAATATAATGGATTTTATACTTGTGCCAAGTTCTAGGAACACTTGACAGAGAAGTTATAATACAAATGTTCGGTCATAGCAAAAATAGAGTCAGATTTTCAATCTGTGGATACTAGATTTATTGCTTTGCCTCTACTGCAGATTATGTAGTTGTTGACACAAAGTTAGATACCATCTATTAAAACCAAGACATACAGTAACAGTATTGTACACTGGTCGAATGGATTTCATTGGAATAAATTCAATAATATTATTTTACATAATGTAACATGCCATACTATAAATATCTATCTTCATGTGACTGAACTTATCTCACATGCTAGTAAAATAATTCTCAAGATTTTACAATCCAAACTTCATGCACACATGGAATGAAAGCCAACGTGTGTATAAGCTGGATTCAAAAGAGTCAGAGATACTAGAGATCACGTTAATAAGTGAAGGATAATGGAAAAGGCTGCAGAATGGCAAAAATGTGGTTATTTTTGCTTGACTCTGTAAAGTATCACAGATTGTAGACAGCCCTTAAACATCGATATACCAAGTCACCTCATCTGCCTACTGAAAAATGGATGATGACCAAGAAACAAACAAACAAAAAAAGATTATGCAGCAACAACTTAATGGTTCACAAAAGGAAATAAGACTTTGCCAAAGTTATATATTGTCATTTCATTTTTTTAAACTTGTATGTAGAACATATCATGAAAAGTGTTGGACTCTAAGAGAAGTTAGGATGACAATTGCTTTGACAAAAAATATCAACTACCTCAGATGCACTGATGGTTCCACTTTGATGGTAGGATCAATGGAAGAATTAAGGCATCTCTTTTGTTGAAGGTGAAAGAATAAGAATGAAAAAGCTGGTCTGTTCTTTGATATGAAAAAAAACCCATTCAGATTATGCCAACGGGCACTGCCAATGCAAATAGGTAGAGAAAAAAGTTGAAAAGCTATCAGAGTTTATTTTCTTAGTGTCAAAAACTCACAGGGATGATGACTGTGACATGAAATACAAAGGGGCTTGGGAGATGACAGATCTAGTCAAAATGCTGAAGTGCACAGAAAGGCACATATAGTTAAGGCTGTTTTTTACTTGTTGTAACACATGCCTATGAAAACTGGACAATCAGAAAGGCGGAAGGAAGGAAAATGGCTATCTTTGAACTGTTGTGCAGGATAAAACTATTCAGATTACTTTGTGCTAGAAAAAGAAGTATATAATTCAGTATTAGATGAAGTAAAGTCTAAATGCTCACTGGAAGCAGTTAATAATGAACTAAACCATAAATAATTTGGACACATAAGATAAAGACAAGAACCACCAGAAAAAGACTCTGATGCCTCAAAAAATCAAAGGCAGTTGAAAAAGAAGCTAACAAAAGACATTGATGACAAAAGCAGCGGCTTATAAGGACACAAAGAAATAGTTGCAGACAGACAATCTTGGCAATATTATATGCATCAGGCCATATGAGCCAGAATATATATCTCTACAAGTTGTCCTCATTTAGCCAATACCTAGTTTACAGCAATTTATAGTTACGACAGTGATGGAAAAGTAATTTTGTGACTAATCTTTGTATTTATGACCTTCAAATGTCT